CAGCCTCCTCCTCTGACCAGTAGCAGCGCTGCTGCCGGCTCCCCCATGGCCAGGCGCGCCGGAGCCACAACTGCCCCACCACAGAGAAGTCACCCAGAAGGGCCAGCAGGCTGCCTCTCCCCTGCCCCTGCCCGGCTGCGAGGAAGCTGCTGCAGCAGACAGCAGCGCTCAGGGATGGGGGCAGGGGATGCGGGGCTGGCTGGCTGGGGACGCAGCTGCTTCAGCGGCGGAGCAGGGGAGGCGAACGGCGGCACGTGGGCTTTTGGGGGGGGAGGCGAACTTGGGCGCCTCATCCAGGGCCTGCTGCCCCATCCAGGGCCCGGCACTCTAGGCAAATGCCTAGTTTATTTGTGGGGATTTTTTCCCCTCAAATTCAGATCCTACCCTCGTCATGTGTAGGGTTGCCAGGTCCCCCAGGAGGGCGGAGGTTCCCCCACTCAAAGGGTCCCCAAGCCGCTAGTCCAGAAAAGGCCGGGGGGGGAACCCCACCCCCAACGCACCCGGTTTGGGGTGACATGCTCAGCGCAATGCTGTCACCCGGAGGTGACGTCATCATGTTGGGCACGTCACCGGCTGACGCTCTAGCTATCGGCCTGAAAGTTTCCAGGCTGATTGCTAGAGCGTCAGCCAGTGACGTGCCCAACATGGAAACAAAATTCAGAATCAGGAATTCCTCACTGGAAAACTATGAGTTCAAATCCAAAGGGGGGGAAATTGTGGGAAAAGTGGATTAGGAAAGGGAGGCAAAAAGTTGTGCAAAAAGATTTATAAACTTTGATTATCTAAGAATGCCAATGTGGAGGTTTGCATTTGTGCGGAAATGGTCTAGAACAGATTATACAGCAATTGGTCTAAATCTGGCACGATTTGTTCTTTGCAAATCCATGCCGGCTTTTACTAGTCTTTTGTTTTGATCAGGCTGGTGGGTCTGTGAACGCTGTCGCTCAAGATGTCTCGATTTTGGCACGATGTTTGATAAAGCTTCCTGTGACATTTTGGTTTTTCAAACTGGTTAAATGTGCGCTAGATGAATCTGCTGTTAGCTGGATTCACAATGGTTCGCAGACCCCCTACTGATGAAGCATTGATCAGTGGACCTTGGAAGGAGCTCTCAAGTGGGCTGCCAAATGGACCCTGTACATTTCAGTATCATTATCAATTACTTGTTTGGGGGGGAGGGAGAGTCCTTATCAGGCTTGCAAATGACCCAAAGCTGGGACAAATAGCAGGCACATCAGAAGACACACACACCCAATTCAAATGACCTTGACAGGTTGGACAGCTAGGCCAAATGAATACAAGGTGATTCAACAAAGACATATGCAGAATTCTGCATTTAGGCAAAAAAAAAAGGATCGGATGCATAGATACAAGATGGGTGATCCCTTCCTTTATTGGAGGCTAACTGGTGTGCTTAGTCCAGTTACCACTAGTTAGCAGAGTGGTGCAGCAGAAGCGTGCTGGGCCCATAACCTGTTGGAGGTTAACTGGTGTGCTTAGTCCAGTTACCACTAGTTAGCACAGTGCTTAAATAGAGCTACAAATGCAGTAGCGTCACTTTACCAAATTACTTGGCTTACAGAGCTACACAGAGCCATGTTGCAAGTTTAGAAGAGAAATACTTCTCTGTTTATTTGAGAAGTACACTTCTGATAGGAAGGAGCAGAGATTGATAGATTGCTAATTTACTAGCTAAAAGATTGTGCCAAGAAAGGACCGCATGTCCCTCTCTTGGTGCCTGCAGGTAGAGAGCACACCTTCATCCAGAGAGAGGGGGGGGGAGGAAAGGGGAAATTGATCCCTGAGAACACAATCTTCATATCAAAGAGGGCAGTGGCAGAAGAGTAGATACAGGAAGAAAGGTCAGTGTGCCTGTCTACCTATCTAGTTTCTCTTGCCACTCAGTCTGGAGGTCTGAGACAGGGACACTGCATCTGGAACTTCCAACACTATTTGACCCATGGAAGAAAATCAGTACGTACCATTTTTTTTCTATTTGCAATAATGGCCTTTGGCGGGGAGGGAGCTGCCCCCCCCCCCCAAAAAAAAAACCTGACAGGATTTTAGGTGGCAAAGCTTAATATCCAAGTCATGCTAAGTAACAGCTTCACTCCAATCGTATTTCATTTGGAGTACTGCATCCAGTTCTGGGCACTATCTATTAAGAAGGATGTAGACAAACTGGAACGGGTTCAGAGGAGGGGAGCAAAGATGGTTAGGGGTCTGGAAGACAAGGCCTGTGAGGAAACGTTGAAGTAGCTGAGTATAATAGAAGGGAAAGGCTGAGGAACAAACAGAACCGTGCTCCTCGCACACCTGAAGGGCTGTCGATTAGAAGATGGTGCCAACTTCCCTTCTACTGCTCCAGATGGCAAGCTGGGAGTAGTGTTCCCTCTAACCTGAGTGAGTGTGAGCTAGCTCACAGTTCTTTAGCCTCCAGCTCACAAATTTTTGTCTCAGCTCAGGGAGGATGGCTCCAGAGCAAACTAATTTGTGCAATAGCCAAATTGCTCATTCACAACTTTAATGCCAGTAGCTCACAACGTAGAATTTTTGCTCACAAGACACCACAGCTTAGAGGGAGCACTGGCTGGGACCCTATGGGTCCATGTTACAGAGGGCTAGATTTCAGCTGAATGTTTGGAGAAGCCACCGAACAGGAACAGTGGTTTGACAATGGGGGACTCGTTATGGAGAGCGTGATGGTCCTCTTGTCCTTGGAGGTCTTCAGGCAGAAGAAGAAGAAGAAGAGTTGGATTTATACCTCGCCCTTCACTTGGAGTCTCAGAGTTGTTTAATCTCCTTTCCCTTCCCCTCCCCACAACAGACACCCTGTGAGGTAGGTGGAACTGAGAAAGTTCTGAGAGAACTGTGGCTGACCCATGGTAAGCAGCCATCTGTTGGAGGTTTTTGAGTCTGAGGTGATGCATTTGAACCAATAAGTTTGCATTGCTGGAAAGGACGTGCTTGAGGCACACAGAATGGTTCCTGAGCAGCTTCCTGCGTGTGACCAAAGAGCACGGTTCAGTGCCTATTCCTTCCTCCGCCTTTGGAGATGGGTTTCTAGTGATGGAGAAAGTTTCAGCGGTTGAATTTCTGACTGCCCTACAGTAGTTACAGGCTGAGTATCTTGGTCAAGGGGAAACGGAATGCGGTACCAGCCTGACAGACATGCACAGATACCATTTGCAGAAGTCGCTTCCTGTCACTTCTCCTTATCTCCTTTCTGCATGAACCAGCTTTGATGTTGTCTCAGAGTTCTGCTGGATCTCACGCAACGCAGGCCCAGCGGAGTGCACCGTCTCGTTAGAAGGCAAGTTTGTAAATGCTGCGTGGGGTGGGGGTGGGGGGGCAGGGCTGATTCTAGGTTTTCATGGGCCCTGGGCAAAGAGTGCTCCCCTGGGCAAAGAGTCCCACTACCAGGACACCCTCTCATACCTCTCTTCCTGCCCCCACCCATCTGCCTATGCAGAGGTCATTTCGGGGGGGAACGTGGGGGAACACAGTTCCCCCGGGTGAGGTGCAGGGGGGCCACATGACGAAGCCCCGCCCCCTGCTTCCAGCCGCCCCGCTTCCAGCCCTCATTCAGCCAGGAGGAGGCAGGAGAAGAGGGAGGGTAAGTTGCTTCCTCCCTGCCTGTCCCCACCCCTGCCTGCCTGGGGCCAGGGAGGGCCTTGGCGGGGCTTCCTTGCACTCCCGCTGGCCTTGCAGGTCCACCGCCAGGCCCCTGATGTCAGGGGGTGTGGTATATGCTAATGAGTTATGCTAATGAGTTCCCCTAGCTCTTTTTCTATGAAATGACCCCTGTGCCTATGTATCTTCCCCCTGCTTGCTCATGACGCCTCCAACAAGCCAGCCACCTACACGGTCTTTCCTCAGTGGCAATAGGAGATGTGTAGAGCTGGGAGTGCTACTGCGGGCTCTTTTTGTAGCAGGAACTCCTTTCCATATTAGGCGACACACCTTTAATGTAGCCAATCCTCCAAGAGCTTACAGTAGCCCCTGTAAGAAGAGCTCTGTAAGCTCTTGGAGGACTGGCTACATTAGGGGTGTGTCACATAATATGCAAAAGAGTTCCTGCTACAAAAAGAGCCCTCAGCCTGTGACCATCACTATCTGCACCATCTTCCCTGGCGGTGGTAAGCAGCCGAGGTACCTAGGAGCAAAGAAGCTGGAGTGCTTGCCAGCCAGGAGGCACAGGAAGGGCATGCAGCAAAGAAAGTGTGCGGGCAGGGGGCGGTGGCAGAGGGCCCGGCCAGAAGTCCTGGGCCCAGGCATCAATGTTCCCGCTAAGCTGTGGGGTCTTGTGAGCAAAAATTCTACTTTGTGAGCTACTGGCGTTACAGTTGTGAGCGAGCGATTTGGCTCCTGCATAAATTAGCTTGCTCTGGAGCCCTCCTTTCCTGAGCGAAGACAAAAAATGTGTGAGCCGGAGGCTGAAAAACTGTGAGCTAGGGCTTCCGGTCTGGCTAAGATGGAGGACTGAAGCGTTTCGTGATCGTGCGAAGCGAGCGACGGCCACTTTTGACAGTTTGGGCAATACACAGCCCAATGTATCACTCCCCAGCGAGGGGGGGGGACAAGCAGGCAGCAGCGCCCTAGAGGGAGTGTGAGGTTGGCGTAATCCAGCTTCGGAAGAAGCTGAATTGGGCTTTGACCTCCTCCCACGAAGAAGGCAAGTGCCAAGCAACTCTATAGTGGCCGATCGAGCCGGATTACCGGCATAAATTCTTCGTCAGCCGACCTCTTTGAAGAAGGACAACAACTGTGAGTTAAAAGAAACAATGCGAAACCCGTTTTGAACGTGCTAGATAACAAAAACGTGCCGCTTACCTGAACTCCTCACCTGAGGGTATATTAATGCTGGCCCCGGTGGGGGGTTTCCCGGCTTGTTTCTCACTGCTTCTCCTCTCCTTTCCTGCCCCACTGCCTCTTCCACCAATGCAACTCTTTGTTCGGTCTTTCCCATCTTCCTCCAGGGCCTGATGGATCCTGTCAACATGACTCTCCTTCCAGGATACGTTTCAACCCCAGAAGTGGACGCCAGCCACTCCCCAGAAAAAATTACCTCTGTAAACCTGGCCACTGCCCTTTTTATCTTTGTGTCCTTACTGGTGGGGACGGTTTCCAACAGCCTCTTCCTCTGGGTGCTGGTGGTGAAGATGAAGAAGACCGTCAACACCCTCTGGTTCTCACATCTGATCTTCACCTACTTGCTGCACTGTTCTTCCCTTCCTGTCTTCTCCGTCTACATCCTGCTGGACTTCCACTGGGTCTTCGGCACGATGCTTTGCAAACTTATCAATTCCTCCTTTTCAGTCGCAATGTTCACCACCGTCTTCCTCCTCACCATCATCAGCCTGGACCGCTACCTCCTTATCTGCCATCCCGTCTGGTCCCAGCACAACCGTACGATTCCCCGGGCGTGGAGAGTGGTTGCAGTAGTGTGGCTGGTTTCCTTAATACTCAGCGCTCCCTACTTGTTTTTCCGGGAGGTTCGAGAGGTGAAGGGCAGGATGAAGTGTCTCAATAATTATGCTTTCTCCAGTGATTGGGATGGCCCTGAGATCCAGGAGTTGATGGATCGTGTTCACTTAGCTCTCTTTGTGGTCCGGTTCCTCTTGGCCTTCTTGCTCCCCCTCCTGATCATCACAGGCTGCCATTGTAGGATGGGCTGGGAGATGAAGAAGAAGAGGCTGGTGAGGAACAGCAAGCCTTTCCGGGTCCTGGTGGCAGCTGTGGTCTCCTTCTTCATCTGCTGGCTTCCCTACCATCTCTACCACAGTTCGCTGACGTATTGGGAATCGTTCAGCTTCACGCAGCAGGTGTTACAGGTGACGATGGTCATCGGAGAGTGTTTCAATTTCTGTTTCACCCCCATTCTCTATCTGTTTGTTGGGGAGAAATTTCAGCAGGTCTTCAAGACATCCCTTCTGTCTCTGCTAAAGAGAGGCTTTATGGATATTCCCATCATCCCCATGAACAATGCCAACGAGGAGAGCCACCAAACTTGTAGCACCGGAAGCTTGAAAGTGAAGGTTGCTCAAACAAATTGTCTGCCATCTCCCTGAAGAAGCTACCTCGAGTCACTCAGAGAGGACTGTGTCCCTTTCTCCTTGCAAAACCCGTTTTCCTGAGTATTTAGAAGTTTCTACCTATCCTTTCCACACTGAAGAACATAAGAACATAAGAGATGCCAATGTTGGATCTGGCCAAAGGCCCATCCAGTCCAACACTCTGTATCACACAGTGGCCAGAAATACCAGGTGCCATCAGGAGGTCCACCAGTGGGGCCAGGACATTAGAAGCCATCCCACTGTTGACCTCCCCAAGCACCAAGAAGACAGAGCATCACTTGCCCCAGAGTCCCTATCTATACCTTGTAGCTAATAGCCACTGATGGACCTCTGCTCCATATGCTTATCTAATTCCCTTTTGAAGCCGTCCATGCTTGTAGCCGCCACCACTTCCTGTGGCAGTGAATTCCAAGTGTTGCACTTGGATCTCATCCTTGGTTTTATCAGAGTTCCATTCGTGGCATAATACCTTGCATTTATCCCTGCGGCAAAACAGCATCCGTTTATCCTGGGACAAGTGTGGGGTGAAACTGGGGTGACCACAATGTAATGTGGAAACAAAAAAATACCCCGAGATAATTACAGGGGTGAACTCGGGTGTAGTGTAGAATGTAAGTTTGGGGATAGGGTTGAACCAGGATTTGAGGTCTAGTGTGGAATCACCCAAAAGGGGATGGGTGACTAAATACCAGCATTAGAAAGTTCTGATTAATTTCTGTTTGACCATTTGGAATGGAGCCCACATACAAGTGTTCAGGGCTCTTTTTGTAGAAAAAGCCCAGCAGGAACTCATTAGCATAATAGGCCACACCCAACAGCAGAAACTCGTTAGCCTATTAGGCCACACCCTGACATCACAGCTCATTGGCCTATTAGGCCACACCCCCATGTTGCCACACCCACCTTTTGCTTCTTATTCTGTTTACTTTGTTTGTTGTCAAAACCCTGGGGGGTTTTTTGTAGCAGGAACTCCTTTGCATGTTAGGCCACCCACCCCTAATGTAGCCAATCCTAATGAGTTCCTGCTGTTAGGTGCTATTATGCTAATGAATTCCTGCTGGGCGTGGCCAACTCGGGAGCCAGCCGGAACTCCATTCCTGTGCGTTCCTGCCCAAAAATAGCCCTGCAAGTGTTCAACAATAGAAGCAGAACTATCTGTGGAATGAATGTCATTTCTACTAGTATCTACATAGGTTTTGGAGAGAACACCTTATAAACAGTTGCAAACTGTTGTTGGTAATTGTATATTTTTCTAGTCTCACTGAAGAAGCTGATCGAAAGGAGAGAGTTTATATCCGGGATCCTCGTGTCGATGTTGATGTCTCTACGAATTTGGACTTACTTTGTTCTTGAAGTTGGTTGTGTAGACTTTAGTGGATTGGCATTATTATACCATTATGTGTTTCCTATAAATTTGCATCTTGTATTTGATAACACGCTACTTCCTCATGATATACAAAAGATATATAAATTATCAAAATATAAACATTTCAAATAGAATTATTCAAAAATTTAGCATCTTATTACACTGGTATTTTTGTTGTTGTTGTTGCTGTTCCTTATGCTGAAACAGGCCTGTCTGGTTTTGAGTTTGCAGTCAAGCACCAAACTGCATTCCACCAAAACAGAGATTGCAAGCAAACAGACAAGCAAGGGAAGAGAGAGAAAGGTGCATATTATATAGCGCCTTTACCAGGACTGGTTCCAGGGCTTGGGGGGGGGGGGTCCCCAGTCAGAGAGTTCCCAGGGCTTCCTTCCCCACCTCTACCCACCACCAGCCCCCTGCTTGCACCCCCCATCTCTCCCACCCACCTCCATGCCTCCCACCTTCCTCTATGTCCTTCCCTTTCTTTCTTCTGCACCCTCCCAGCTACACCCATGCTCACAGCAACCTTGTATAGGATGCCACCTTTGCCTGGTGATACTGGGCAATGTGTACAGCTAGGAGCATGGGTGATGGAGCACTAACAAGTCAGTGGGTGGGGGATTTAAAAGCAGTGGGCCCTACCCAGGCCCATAGCTACAGTGGGGCATTTCGTGGCCCTGCCCCCTAATTAAAATCCCTGCCCCCAATTAATGTGCATGTCTCCCATAGGCTCACGGGGATGCTTTTGAAAGACTCATCATGACCTAGGTGATATACAGCAGGACTGGGCTGGCAGAAAAGGGGATGATTTTTGAAGTGCTGAAGGTACCACTCTGGAGTGCCCTTCCTGTGTAAGGGAACTCAAAAGGCATTTGAATGCCTTCTGAAGGCAATAAAATGCCCACTGAGCTGTTTTTTTCCTTAGGAACTGATATACTCACTGCCCTGTCCCTTGAAAGGAAGGGATAGAAACAAGCTAGGAGCCTCACTCTTTAAAGACAGGCATTCGGATTAATTTAATTCACTTTAACTGTCCCCCTTAAAAATTTAAATGCCCCCTGAACAAAAATCCTGGCAGCTAACCCACCTCACAATATGTTGATGCTGGTCCTGACCTTGACCATCTGTAACATTCTCCTGTCTTTGGTGTCGTGGTTAAGTGTGCGGACTCTAATCTGGGAGAACCGGGTTTGATTCCCCATGCCTCCACTTGCAGCTGCTAGATGACCTTGGGCAAGCCACAGCTCTGTCAGAGCTGTTCTTGAAAGAGCAGTTTCTCTCAGAGCTCTCTCAGCCCCACCTACCTCACAGGGTGTCTGTTGTGGGGAGGGGGAGGGAAAGGAGTTTGTAAACCGCTCTGAGACTCCAAGTGAAGGGCGGTGTATAAATCCAATTTCTTCTTCTTCTTCTTCTTCTTCTTCTTCTTCTTCCTCCTCCTCCTCCTCCTCCTCCTCCTCTCTCTCTCTCTTTGCACTTCACATGGCCTTTGCAGTCTGCACACTTCTAAGGACTGAAGGCAAAGGCACCCTAATATCATGAAGTAAAAGTTTTTGGTTACGGACTTCTTTGGAAGGTGTATTAAACTATCACCTGGTTTTCTGGTTGGTTCAAAACTGGAAGTCCCCAATCCAGAGAAATCCCCAAAGCAGAGGTCCAAAAAGGTGTCAATATTGGTCTCAGTTTTGCCAAACCCATGACATTCTGGAAGGGAAACGTGAACCGTCTCTCAAGCCCAGATGTACGTACGGAATGTGTTTAGTCAGCCAGAAACTCTCGTTTATTTCCTGTCATCTGTGTTCTTCACCTTGCTGTAGGCTTCTCTCACTACCTCTTTTGTGCTTGTGTGCTCAGTAATCAAAACTTATTTTTTTTAAAAAAAAACACCTTGCTACTTTGACTGTTGAAGGACTTCCTGGAGGAACTTCCCTGTGAGTCTATCTTTGAATAGGTCTGCTGCTATTGCCAACAAAGGACACTCCTGACTTGCAAAGAACAGTTCCTGTGCCTTTAACATCTACCATTGTCTCCTTCACTGGAGATGGGATTGTAGTGGTGGAGAAAGCATCACCTCCTGAATTGCTGGCTGTCACAAAGCTCTCAAGCACTAGGACAAGGGGACAACAATGCGGCGTCTGCCTGATCAACCCTGACACGTTTGCAGAAGCCGTTTCCTGCCTCTTCTCCTTATCATTCTTGTTTCTGCACCGACAGCATCAATATCGTATCAGGGCCCTACCAGATCTCATGCGACAGCCACGGCAAGTGTTCATCGTCTTGATTCCAGGTAGGTCCGTCCAGGCTGCGTGGAGGGGTGATGGTGGGGCTGTCCACTTTTTCCTCCTCACAGAAGTCCCACCCAGGCCCGTAGCTACAGCGGGGCATTTCGGGGCCTGGCCCCCTGACTTCCTGCCAAGGCCCCCTGACTTCTATCCAGCCCCCCAGGCTCTCTGGGCTTCCCGGAGGACTCCCAGCTCTGTGGGCTGCCTGGAGAACTCCCCACCGCCACCCCTTCCCTAAGCATGCTTCCCCGTGTAGGCAAGCAGAGTGTGAACGCCGCAAAAGTGAGTTTAAATTTTTTATTTATTTATTGCCCCCGGACTTATTTAAAGGCCCCGTGAATTACAAAATCCTGGCTACAGGCCTGGTCCCACCTCCTGAGTCCCTGGCCCCAAAGGCCACCGTTGAAGACACAGAAGCTCAAAGCGTGGCAATCTTATAAGGTGAGGGGAGGGCAGGTCGGGAAGGCACAGTTAAAGAAAGGGCTTAAGACACAAGCCCTGACCTAGATGGCCCAGGCTAGCCCAATGTTGTGTGATCCCGGAAGCTAAGCCGGGTCGACCCTGGTTAGTACTCGGATGGGAGACCACCAAGGAAGTCCAGAGTCACTATGCAGAGGCAACGGATGGCAAACCCCCTCTGAATGCCACCATGAGTTGGCTGCAACTTGACAGCATTTTCCACCACCAAGATTCAAATCTTGCCAAATTATTATGAAAATCAGCTGGCTTGCTCCCTTCCTGTGCCTTTTACTAGTAACTTGGTCTGCAGAAATCAGCCAGGGGGGGGGGGGGGGGTTTCCTGGCCTGGGGAATCAGCATTGTCATCAGAGGTCTGCAAGTCAAACTGTTATAAGAGGTTGCAGGATCAGAACCAGGCAAAAAAGTTGGCTGCCTGAGCAGATCCACTCAAAGCAATGCCCGTGGACATGTGCAGGATCAGAACCAGGCAAAAAAGTTGGCTGCCTGAGCAGATCCACTCAAAGCAATGGCCGTGGACATGTCCAACGCTCCCTCTAAGCTGCGGAGTCTTGTGAGCAAGAATTCTACTTTGTGAGCTGCTGGCATTAAAGTTGTGAGCAGGTGATTTGGCTACTGCATAAATTAGCCTGCTCTGGAACCCTCCTTCCTGAGCTAAGACAAAAATGTGTGAGCCCGAGGCTAAAAACCTGTGAGCGAGCTCACACTAACTCACCTTAGAGGGAACACTGCTCATATCCTTGCCATGGACCTCCCTTTCTAAGTTTTTTTTAAAAAAGTTTTATTTAACTTATTTTTAGCACACCCTTATCGCTGAGAGTGACGGGAGATTACCAAGTACTGAAAAGAGGAAATAAATGCAGTCATACAGG